GCGAGTTGTTCCACTCTACAACACCTGCTGGGTAACCAGCAACAGGGGGACCCCGCGTCTTGACGCGTCCTTTTTCATGCTTGCGTTCCGTCTACGCATAGGAAAACGCAAGCGTTTTGTGCGTCTGCTCAAAACCTATGTAGGTACAGCCCCAGGCCCAGTGTAGTTGCTTCGTCTGGCTGACGGTGACACCTATCAGTAAATGTGCTAGCTGATGACATTTTTCACCCAAAACTCCAGAATGTGTTTTCGATTAGAAAATAAGTAATCGTGCAGCCCAATATCAGGATGTTTCGTTAACTTCACTGAATGCCGACTCTTAAACGAGTTTCCTTCTGGCCAACTGCACTGCACAGTCACATTTTTTTAAAATTTTATTTCTTCATGTTCCAGTTCCCAACTTTGATTCCTGTTACCACCGTCTGGATCTCTTCAAGCGGGATCACGCCTGTCTCTACCTGCGCCAGCTAGCCACATTCAGTACGTCTGTCTGGTCCTCTTTTCTGTTTATTCGTCCTCTTGGTGTACTAAAGGCGATATCTTGACTCTGCTTCTTTTCTGCTTTACGTTAAGTACCTTTCGGTAGAACTTGTATCTGACCTTTAGGCTTGACGGTTTTGCTTGTCCACGAGCTTGTCTCACTCGAACTCACGTCAGTGGTCATTCAGTGACTGACTGTATGCTTCTATGTAGGGTTGGAGGGGTTAAAAACCCTCTGCAATAATTCCCAAACCATCTGCCACCGGTTCTATGATATTCTAGGCAAAAGAAGGGCACTAGATTGAGGGCCTTTGCAACTAAACTGTTGACTTGTCTTCATACACTTTGGACCGCTGTTACGACCCGCGCCTGGTACTTTTAGTCAACACGGACCTGTTCTCCAGAACCCGTAAGAGAGAGACAGAGAAAACCAGTCGGTCAGGGAGGGAACGTGTATTCAAACAGAACACGTCAGTGCAAGTCAGCGCAAGTCAAGTCAGATACAGGGTGCATGTACCTTAAAGGGAACGCGAGAGACATCGCTTGACAATGGACCAATCAGGATTAAGCAGACAAGACTGGTTCACGGCGAGCGGCTCTCGTGAGCCGTTGAGTTTCGTTGACATATCGTGGGAATCGTCGCATTCCCAACAACCGCTGAGTCTGAAGCACTGCATTAAGTTGAGGAAAGTGTGCAGAACGACGACACTGTAGCGTCCGAGCGGTGAGAATACTCAGCTGAAGACCAGAAGGAGGAACTTGTTGTTCGGCGATGACGGTGTGTGTGTATGTGAAGGGGAGAGAAAAGATGTTATTGTTTTGGTATGTCCACGGGGATGATTTTCAAGTTACGCGTGTTGTACTAGCCCAGGCGCGGTCGACTGTACTATGTAAAGCACAGTCAGTTGGGGCGTTTTTTCCCACTACTGCCTCCTGTTAGGGTTAATGCCTGCAATGCAGTCGCTAGCACCACATACAAACCCTGCTAACTGATTACCCTATATATGACTATACTACCCAAATGTGTGAGTAGATATTTATGTGTTGAATGGTAAGCTGCTCACAGATCTGTTTAGGGAATATGCTCGCCTCATTGTTTCTTGGAGTTCAATCTAGATCCCTTGCAGGCAGTCGTATAGCAGCCTGTGATATATGGAACCGACAAAGCCAAGGAAAACCGGAATGACCATATCTGGCTTATTCGCCGTCCTCAGCCAGTCATACCCAATGCTAACCATTCCTCATATTCCCAATCGCTCAATAGTAGAGTGTTGCACTCCATGACCAAAGGGTTGGGGGTTCGAATCCCGGGTAATCCACACCTTGGATTAGGCATGACTGGCTGATGACGTCTAATAAGCCAGAAATGGCCATTCCGGACGCCATTGTTTTTGTCGGTTCCACACCAGCGCCTTTATATGTGCTCTTTTCGGTGCCTTTTCTCAAATACATTGTCGCCAATTAGGCGTTCAAAGACGTTTACCTCTTTATAGGACCGTTAATTCAAATTAAGTTTATCACTTCTGACTGAGGCTTTCAGGGTGTGGAGGCATAGTGCCGTATTTAAGGCTTTTTACCTTCCACACCAAAAGCAGGATTGGTAGCATCGGAACCGATGTGTCAAAGCCCTACTACACGCTTAAGTTACAGGCATGCTTTGCAAGTCTAGGGTGTGCTACGCCCGCGGCCTATGGCCACATTGGTGGCCAACGGCAAGGGTTCAGTGAAGTCTCTTATATGAGATTGTGAAATGCTTTGTATAGATGACCGACTTGGCAGATCTGTGGCCACCCAATCTCTTTGCGGCTTACCCTTACACCCTGTCACTTAACTCGCGTGGACGAATCCTTCACACTTCCCGCCTTTCACAGCTGTCAGTCGCAGACAGTTCCCATTCAACAGCCAGTGATGATCTCCAATTTTGGATGGATTTCCTTTTAGTCGCTGGTTTATTCGTCAGAAAGTAGTGCATATTTTGTAAAGAGGTCTCATTGATTTTTCTTTCTATGCTAGGCTGCAGCACCATCTATCTACCCCCGCGCACCTTCATGCGTCCATTTGAACAACTCGCGTCGCCGGAAGGGGAGACCTCGGACCAAGTGCGTCACATGGTGGCCTATCTCGTCGATCATACCGCCCTCATTTCCAACC